GTGTTATTTTTGATCAGGACATGTCTTTTATCCCCCACATTAAAAACGTTACTAGAACCTCCTTCTTCCACCTGCGTAATATCACTAACATTAGAAACATCTGATCTAAAGATGATGCAGAAAAACTGGTCCATGCATTTGTAGATGAACAGATGCTCAGATATATTCATCAATTAAAACGGATTCCTCATTTTTCTGGACTGAATAAAACGTGCATTGAATTTAATGAAGTGCAAACGTGAGACGTCATTTATCTTTGACCCATCAAAATGAATGCGGTCATTTATTTTACAGAATCAAAGTTTAACATCAAACATTTACATTAATTTGGCAAATTATGAAAATAACAACATAATCAATCAGGAAAACCATACGGCCATGATTTTCTGTTGCTTCACCACAGACATTAATGAAAACTGTACAATTATGTTCAATTGTCCACACGGCGGTGGATGAGCACTTTACACAGACATTTCTAAATTATCTGGAAGGATTTCTACTTTAGAGAAGAATTTAAAGATGGAAATGAAGTTTAAAGGGAGTAAAAGATGGTATGTGAGGGGAAGTGTTCACCAGAACCGACACTCTCCATCAGAACCCAGCTTTCCTAGGTACGCTTGGTAGGGAACTTGACTCATTACCTTTCTGAAGATTAATCAGCAGATATGGAGGTCCAGTTAACGCTACCTGTCCAGCGTCTCCATAGGATGGCTGTGACTCGTCCGAAGTAGTGACGAGATTCCGTCCGACACCAGCTCACATCAGCAAGTGGACTTCACATGAGTGGAGTCCTTCAGAAGTTCCACTCAGAGGTGGAGGATATTATAATCCAACTCGGAGGAGCCTTATCATGCTGGACTTCTGTTCTCCCAAACGACTTCTCAGCGCCTCACCGAACTCCTCAGAAGCTTCACCGAACTGAACTTTTCAGACTCAGCGCAGAACCGAACTGAGAGAACTAGGAAGTACCGGCATTTTAAAGAGCTCTTTCCCGGTTCATTTGGAAGTCTTCCCATTGGTCAGAACCGACCAGACGGGGTGTGTTTTGTGACGTAAGAGGTTAGAAGACAGCAAGAATTGTTATGGAACAGATTAGAAATGTTCTCAGAGACATAGAGAGTTTTGTTTTGGCGAGTTCGAAAAACAGGTGCCAACTCCTTCTGTTTACGTCTGAGAGGATGTAAACAAGACAGTTGTTCCACACATGTCTGCTTCGACTCCTGACCCTGGAAAACGCACACTTGCTCATTCAAAGACAGAAATCAGAAAATGCATAAAAATCTGTAACAGACCTTAACATGAATTCTAACTCTGCATAAGCATTAAAAATCATTACACTGTTTCACAGTTAATAAAATTGATTAGTTCACTGCAACATCTAAAATGGTTTGAACTAAGACACTTTGATTATCAACATTTGTAAAATAGTAATGATAATAAAAAGAGAGTGTTCTTTCACTTGATTTTCAAGAAAGAGAGTCTCAGGATGGGTGAACCTGTATTTCTGGATTCAAATCAATGAAATGACAGTTTCTGTTCCACAAGGTTCTTAAGGTCAAGGGTTTTGACCTTAGGCTTAGTTTTGACATCAGGTTAAGTTCACTACACATTTGTCACGTCTAGACTGGACTATTGCAATGGTTTATTATCTGGGTGTCCAAATACTTCTTTAAAACGTCTTCAGTTGATCCAAAATGCTGCTGCCAGAGTCTTAACTGGAGTTACTGGGAGAGCTCCAGTTTTAGCTTCTCTCCATTGGCTCCCTGTCAAATCCAGAATAGAATTCAAAATCTTACTTCTAACCTACAAAGCTCTCAACAACCTAGCTCCATCTTATATTACAGATCTTATTGTTCCATATTTTACTAACAGAGCACTTCTCTCTCAGACTGCAGGTTTACTTGTGGTTCCTAGAGTTTCCAAAAACAGAATGGTTCAAGTTCAAGTATTTTTATTATCTCAGAGGGGCCATTAGTTTCACAGTCAGTAGATGTGTACATATACACACACATGCACATACATACACATATATACATATGCATACATATATATACACAACACATTAAGACAGTAAAGTAACAGTATTGAAATTAGTGTTCATTGGGAAACATGATTGCTACGGGGATGAATGAGTTTCAATCTGTTTGTTCTACATCTGGGCTGCAGAAACCTGCGTCCAGATGGAAGCAACCTGAACTCACCATGGAGAGGATGATCAGGATCTGCCAGAATCTGCCTGTTATTCACCGACCTCACCTTGTGTAGGTCAGCAAGGTTCCGTAGGTCTATACCAGCAGTTTTGCTGCACATCCTGACAATCCCCGAGAGTTGGAGTCATCTGAGGTCACTTCAGCTGCAGGTTAAAGGGCATCTGGTTCCTGTGACCTCCAAGTGGAACCACCTTTACAGTCCATATGAACAGGATTACCAAAGACTCAACTGAGTCCGATTGTCTCAGGTTCTGACCCAGATCCGTCAGAGTGCAGCCTGAACCATCAGATCCCAGTGGAATCCTGAGCTAGACCATAGTTCTATTTCATCCCTCCTGACCGCCAGAGGGCGGTGCTGAAAGCACTGAATGTTCCCTTCGCGCATGCGCTGATTCGAGTAATAATACCAACGGAGTCACAGGTGTGACACGGATGACCAATCAGAGGCTATATAGCCCGACGTCATCCGCTGCTTTGCTCCTATTTTCTTCTCGCGCGCGGTTCAATTTAGGGCTTCAGCCCTTTGGACCTTTTCTGAACTTTTTACCGTCGTCGGAAGCCCGACTGTGGGAGTAGCGTGTTCGCCCTCCTAGGGCTGCGACGGTTTAACCCTGTTCAAAGGTATTTCTGCTGTTTCGTTGGGAACTACGGCGGTTTCCGCCTCTCCCAAATTACAGCGTCTGACTACTATGTGTGTGATTCAACACCGGTGAGTAGTTTTCCTTATATTCGCCGTTGGTTAGCGGTAGCGTTCGCTCCGCTCACGCTTGTTGGGAGACCTCCAACCGCGTGGTCGGCTGGAATGTGCTCCGACGTTGTTTATGACTACTATGTGTGTGATTTAACACTGGTAAGTAGTGTTTTTTTGCTTATATTTTGCTATTGGAAGTTGTTTATTACGTAGCCAGCTGAGTTCCTGGCCTTGTTTTATTTGGTGAAGGCGAGTGTTCTCACCCCCTCTCCCAATTGTCCTCTCTTACCAGTTGAGCTAGTGGTGCTAGCCTCTCTGAGTTTTCACTTTGTTTTAATTGGTGAAGGCGAGTGTTCTCACCCCCTCTCCCAATTGTCCTCTTTTACCAGCTGAGCTAGTGGTGCTAGCCTCTCTGAGTTCTAACCTTGTTTTAATTGGTGAAGGTGAGTGCTCTCACCCCCTCTCCCAATTGTCCTCTTACCAGCTGAGCTAGTGGTGCTAGCTTCTCTGAGTTCTAACCTTGTTTTCATTGGTGAAGGCGAGCGTTCGCGCCCCCTCTCCCAATTGTCCTCTTTTACCAGTTGAGCTAGTGGTGCTAGCTTCTCTGAGTTCTAACCTTGTTTTCATTGGTGAAGGCGAGCGTTCGCGCCCCCTCTCCCAATTGTCCTCTTTTACCAGTTGAGCTAGTGGTGCTAGCCTCTCTGAGTTCTAACCTTGTTTTAATTGGTGAAGGCGAGTGTTCTCACCCCCTCTCCCAATTGTCCTCTTACCAGCTGAGCTAGCGGTGCTAGCCTCTGAGTTTTGGCCTTGTTTTGATTGGTGAAGGCGAGCGTTCGCGCCCCCTCTCCCAA